TTCTTCTTCTTCTTCTTCTTCTTTTTCTTCTTCTTCTTCTTCTTCTTTTTCTTGTCGTTGTTGTTGTTTTGTCTTTTTCTGCATCAAATATCTTTTGTCTTTTTCACCATCTTCTTTTTCTTGATGTTTTTTCCCCCCTACTTCTACTACTTCTTTTTAATCATTTTCTTACTGTTATTGTTGTTGTTTTCCATCTTCTTCTACTTCCTCTTTTTGTCGTTGTTGTTGTTCTTCTCCTTCAGTGTTGATTGTTGCTCTTCTTCTTCTCAGTTGTTCTTTTTATTCTTGTCTAGTGTTCTTGTTCTTTTTATTTTTCTTGTAGTCATTGTCAGTTCCTGTTGTTCTTTCTTCAGTGTTTTTGTTTTTCGTCTTTTGCACAATCACGTTCAGCTCTGTCATTGTTGCTTCATGTATCATCTTTCCGCATTTTATTGTCTGAATGATAAATGAAACCCATCCAAGAGAATTCAAAGAATCTTTCATTACGACAAAAAAACGGAAGCACAAATTAGCCCATCATCTACCGACGAATAAAAGATAAAAGAAATGACAAAATCAACCAAAAAAACTTTTTTTTTGAATTGATAAGATTTACTTGGTGCAAAAGACTGAATGGAAAACTGAAGGACATAGGCTCCAATGTCAAGCACAAATGGAAACAACGACCTTGAAACCTTCAAGTAATTTTAATACTCAAAATATAATTTATTTGCAAAAGTCTAAGTAAAAACAGTAAGAAAAGGAAAGGAAACATTGCTTGCTATAAGTATTTACCACAATTAATCTAACAACGTTTTGTGTGGTTGGAATCCTGTCAGAAGACGTTACTTTTGCCCTCATCCTAATGAGAAATTTCCTAGACATTTCTCACTTCACTGCCGGCTGATTGGTCCCAATAGACCCTTTTCGAGTTCCAAATTACCGCTGTGTTTCTTGATTACAGACTCATTTACTCAGGCTTAGCCTCGAATCAGTGTCTAAATATTCACAAATACCAACGGTAAAGTAAAGAATGCACAACTTCAACAATACGAACACTTTGAAACTTGACGGACCTTGACTGGAACACGTGAATATTCTTCACAAAATCGAGGCTTAACCTGAGTAAATGAGTCTGGAATCAAGAAACACAGCGGTAATTTGGAACTCGAAAAGGGTCTACTGTCTTACTATTCTCATGAGGCAATTTGAAATAAATTAAGAGAATTTGCAATGCGTCATGGTATAGTTGCAGTTAAATGACATGATCACGAAATGGCCTATTCGTGAAAGTTAACCAAATTAACCATAACAAGCACCAAACAGTGACCAAGGGATATCACGCGACATCACGCGACATCACGCGACATCACGCGGCATCACGCTTTTACTCAGACCCAACCGCGCACACATCGGATCCAATTAATTAATAAATCTAGTAAAATATGATAAACAACGATATAATACTACATCTACTATATGCTAGAGTGCATATATATATCCGTGAGAAACGTTTCAAGAAATTGCACAAATTTGCAAAAATTTGTAAGTTCAGTCGACCTCAGAAGACCGTAGACTTACAAAACTTTGCACTAATTTGTACAATTTTGTTAGTTAACTTTCTCACGGATATATGGTATGCAGTCTAACATAAACCTAGTGAATTCAGTAAGAATCAAATTAAGATTTTTATTTTGGAAACAAATTAGTTTGTCATCTGTTGTTATTTATCGTCTTGCATTATTCAAATCTTCAGAAGCTTTCAAACATTGGATCATTGCACGATAGGGGATATAGCTGTGTAAATATGACTAACGGTCAATACGTATTCAGCTGCTTCAGTGAGGGTGGCTTGTGCATTGCATAATATGAATATACCTTTTCATCAATTCATCAACTTTCTCTTTTGGCTTAAATGAATTAAGCGATTACTCAAAAGTCTCTCTCCTGCACACAAAACACACACAAGCAATATTTAAACAAGGTAGGAAAAAGCTATCATTTTTCTTCAGTTTTATTACAAAATTCTATACGTTTAAGCAGAAAAACAAATCTTGAAAAATTGGTTTTGATTTTGAGTTTTAAATTTTCGTTTTCTTTGTTAATTTTTTTTTCTTCGTTTTTATGATACATCATCTATGTTTTATTTCTCATATATTCCAACACATGACAAAATGCGCGCGAATATATCTTCTCTGATGGCCAATAATTTTATAATATCATCGATAATACATTCATACTAAACAATTGTTGGATGAGGTTATTACATCATAAATTATCAAGACATACAAAGCCGGGCTGTGTCAGGTTATTTGCTGAGTTACGGCCGAGTTCTTGATAGTTTACGGTTTAAAACCGAGAGGACTACTTCGGCGATACGGCGGCCATCTTGGATCGCAATGCATTATTGGCGTCCAGGTGGTAAATCAGTAAAGCTCTTTTACAGTAATAACGTCGATTGATATTAAAGCTCACCACAAGAGAGTACAACAAAAGATGAATAAGGATGGCACATCGATCACCTTTACCCATAAAACCAAGACAAACACACAAAACTCTATATATTTTCTGTAATCGTTGCTTTGTTTTGCTGGCTGGCAAAATGGCCGCTGTATCGTCGAAGCAGTCCATTCGATTCAATAATTGTTTATTATATATTTTGCAATACAAAACAATACAATAGAAGTTTATTTTGCTCACAATTTTGTAGTTACAAGATTTGTCAAGAATATGAAAAGTGAAATTTAAAAATCTCTCCTATTTTTTAAATACCAGGCTAGCTAGCTACCTAGTTGTCAGACAAGGTTTCCGTTTCCTTGATTCAGGTGGCTGTGTTTTCACTAGGACAATTTAAACTAGCTTAAATATAACACCGGAAATAAGGCAAAGCTAAACTACCTAGCAAGATGGTTTAAGTTGTCCTACCAAATAAATGGGCCAATAACAGTGTTATTCTTGAAAGGTGGTTGTCAGATTAAAACACCTCCAGGAATTTTAGGCAAGTTAACATTTCTAGTGAAAACACAGCCACATTCGTAGATTTTTTTTTTTAATTTACTAAAATATCTATCACAACCAATTGAACTTTTTAGTCCACTTTCTACTTTCTATTTATAGATGAATTTCCACAAATTGGTCTTCATAGTGATAGTGATGTTGGTTCTTTGCCATTCCACTCATGGAGGAAAACTATACGAAGAGGGCAGAGAGGAAAACAACATACACAACCCTGGAGGGTGGCGTAGAAAAAGAAGTATTAAACAAAAAGGTATTAATAGGTTTACGGACCCTTTGAAAACCTCTGGTCTGTTGTAAGTCAAGGTATGGCTAACTCACATATCGAACCCTGAAACAACCCCTGGGCTGATCTAAATCATGGCACGGCTTACTCACAGATTGAACCCTGAAACAACCCCTGGGCTGATCTAAGTCAGGGCATGGCTAACTCACATATCGAACCCTGAAACAACCCCTGGGCTGATCTAAGTCAGGGCATAGCTAACTCACAGATGCGTGGAACCCTGAAACAACCTCTGGTCTGATCTAAGTCAAGGCATAGCTAACTCACAGATGCGTGGAACCCTGAAACAACCTCTGGNTCACAGATGCGTGGAACCCTGAAACAACCTCTGGTCTGATCTAAGTCAAGGCATAGCTAACTCACAGATGCGTGGAACCCTGAAACAACCTCTGGGCTGATTCAAGTCGGGCACGGCTTACTCACAGATTGAAATCTAAAACAACCTCTGGTCTGATCTATGTCAGGACAAAGCTAACTCACAGACAGATCAAACCGGCTGAAACAACCCCTGGGCTGATTTAAGTCAGGGCATGGTTAACTCACATATTGAACTTTGCAACAACCTCTGGGTTGATACTGTCCCAGTCACATTGATCCAATCCACTCCAGTCACATCCTATCAGATTCTCTCAACCTCTAGGCTGATCCATCGCAGTCATATCTAGTCCATCCCAGTCACATGCAATCCAATCCAATCCAATCCAATCCAATCCAATCCAATCCAATCCAATCCAATCCAATCCAGTTCCATTCGTTCAATCGTATTCTATATTTATTTCAGATGACGTGGAACTCCACCACAAAGATGCCAAATCATTTGCTACTCAAGATGAAGGGAGCAATATTATCTGATTTCTCATCAAAACGGATCCGAAATATCTACTGCTAAACTTTGACGCTTACTACCGCAGTAACCGCAGCTACCCAATTATCTTTTGAGTATACGTTAGCCAATCAGAAAGCAGACCAATCGCCCTGGTTTCGATTGGAAGAAAACACCAACTCTCCAACGATGTTTTCTCTGATTGACTAATGTGTAAACAAGTTATCTAATCTGGATAACTAAATAATTACTGATGTGAAACTAGAAATAATGAAAATAACTATTTAAGGGTTTAAAAGAGTTGTTGTTTTGTTTTTCTTGAGCTGTATACGCCTATTTCAAAAAAAATGTCCGAAATTTGAAATGGGTGATCTGAGATTAAACAGAATGTTTTGTAGCTTTACGTTTTCTGGTTAAAATGTGAAAAATTATATTTATATTTCAAACGTCATTCCTTATATTCCAATCTAATAGGAAACTACGTTATATGGCTGTGAATATTACACAATTTGCAGCGTGCTACTCGATCTCAGATTTCAGATTTCAAATCTCCAACCGATAACTTGTTTTAAATAGGTGTGATTGATTTATTTGCTGACCTCGAATAGCCCCATTTCAAAATTATTTCAAAATTGAGACGCAAAATTTAATTTGTATTATAATATAAAGAAATCACACTTTTCCTGAATCAGTTCTTTGGTATATTCGCATATAAGATAATTTTGTAAAAGGGCCTAAAGTCTCTAGCTTCATTCCTCTGTTGTAAAGGGATGGCAATGACAAAATAATCTATTCTTTTGCTATAATTTTACTTTGCGAGATGGGATTATATTAAGTTCAATTAATACAACGTGTATCAATAATGAAAGCTACATTCTTGAAGAGCAATAAAAGCGTCAACAAAACGTTTTTGCATTCTAAATTTAATTCAAATGATTCATAATTATGTATGAGGTCCTTCACGTACTGGATGTGAACTAAAAGGTCCTTTCACTGGATGTGAACTAAAAGGTCCTTTCACTGGATGTCAACAAAAAGGTCCTTTCACTGGATGTGAACTAAAAGGTCCTTTCACTGGATGTGAACTAAAAGGTCCTTTCACTGGATGTGAACTAAAAGNTCACTGGATGTGAACTAAAAGGTCCTTTCACTGGATGTGAACTAAAAGGTCCTTTTACTGGATGTTACATTTTGAAAAAGGATTGGTCAAAACAACTTAAACTACGCGACAAATCAAACGAGGCAAACCTTGATGTTTTGATACTAGGGTGTGGTATCGAGTGTGGACGCAAGCGCGTCTGTGTTCCCGCCAAAGCCACCATGAAACTCCAGACACGTTGCTTTTCCTTGTCCCACGTCAATGAAATGTAAATGATTCTATATATAGATGAAAATCTGGAGTCTACGAGTCTAAGAGTCAGTGATAAGATGTTAAAAATATATTTTTAAAAACCTGTAAGTCAGATATTTCACACAACTACGATATCAATATGAAAAGGAAGCAATCTATCCTTTTTTTCCGAACTGCATGTTCTCTTCTCTTCTCTTCTCTTCTCTTCTCTTCTCTTCTCTTCTCTTCTCTTCTCTTCTATAAGAATAGCATTTGATGTCATATTGATTTTCCTATAACGATAATAACGTACCATATCATACTAACTAACTTCTGCTTTGTTTACTTTATCATCGTACATATGAATATAGATATGGCAGAAAAACGATCAAGTCTGAAAAGTAAGTCATAACTATACAATCATGGACAAAAATGATGAGATATTTTGAGTTATAATTGGGATATTTTGATGTAGTAAAAAATATTAAAATCCCCTTAAAGCGATCCCAAGAGATAGAGCGGTACTACCTATTGGGATCAACATTGTCCTGGGGGGAGGGAGTACGGTAAATTAAACGATATTTTATGAGGAAAAATTGCAATTTATAATGATGTGATGAATGCGCAACTCCTCTTTTCGTCCAAGATTGTACCCGTTACAGACACTAGCTAGATCCTCTCTATCCTGGGTTACAGGATCTGGGAGTT